AAAAATCACCGGAGGTATTTAACATGCAGATAACAGTAATCTACCCAATCTGAATCTCCCAAAGTGAGGCTAGGAATCTCCTATTTAAACACTTTCCCAGGTGATTCTGATGCTGATAGTTCTTGGGCCACAGAAACACTGATCTATAGGGTAAAATCTAGAAGTCCTTTCCATGAAAGCATCCCCTCTTGACAGAGCCCCACATGCCTCTTCAGCCTCATCTCCTGCCCCTCCATCATTATGCCTAAACATCTACCTTCTTATGGTTGCCAGAAAATACTCTCGGCCTCCACTCCTTTTGCATTCCATTGCTCTCCTGCTCTGTAAAGCCTTTTCTCCCTCTACCTCTGGTAATGTGGGACCTACTCAGATTCATCTTTCTAGACTGAGCTCGGCCTTTCCCCTCCATCCCCTCTGCTGCCTTTCTCAGCTTTAACCCTCTCTCCCTGGAGCTGCTTCCTTCTCTCCCATAGCACCCGGCACTTACCTAAATGCATTTTGCAGCCCCAGTGCTATGCCTGACACAGTAGGCCCTCAATAAATGCTTACTGAATCAACAGAATCAGACTGTATGAACTAGTAAGGGTGAAGGCCAGATTCTTTAGCATTATCATCAAGATGCACACAGTCTCTCTTTACAACCTGTTAACTGCAATACTAATAAATTTACAATATGCAACAACAGAATAATAGCAGAAACCAATTCATCATAGAATTATATTCTTGAAACCAAGCAAGATATTTCAAAGAACACTTACCTCCTCTCTGAAGAAAAATGATACAATTTGAAACTAGCCGTTACACCATCAATTGAACAATGCCTCCCCTAGGTCAGATCAGGTAAACCACAATAGAAGTTTCACCCTTAGATAAGTGGGGAAATCCTTCAACTGTAAAGACTTGTCCAAAGAAAGGACAGGTAGAAAGGAGGAATGAGAAGCCTCTCAAAGGTAAAATCCCTCAATATAATTGTCTAAAGGTACATAAATAAGCAACAGAGAAAATGGTAGTTAAACCCCTGACATCTTCACATTCAAAATACAAAAGTATTCTTCCAATATCCAGGAGATGCACAGCTCCCTTTTACACTTCCAAAATGATTTATATTCTTTTACACTTTCATTCCTTGAATAAATATTTGTTGAGCACCTATTCTGTTCATGTGCTAGACCCTGATCATATTGAACAAGACAGCTAGCTATAGGCCCTACCCTCTCAGAGCTCATACCCTAACAGAGAAGGCAGACTCTCAACTAATTATTCATCCGCTTAATAAAACCGTGGTAACAAACGGAGAACACAAGTGTTAAGACAGCACATAACATACAATCCATCCCATGCTTTCTTCTGCACCAAGAAGCAATCGTCTTAGTTTCTTACTACAGAAATCTAATTACCACCCACATGTGCACCCCTCTTGGCGGTTATTCTGAATAACTGCCAGGTTTCCAACTGTAGCTCTCAGATGTACCTCTAGGGAGACAAAGAAATTAAACTAATTCAAAAGTAATTTTTCCACCAGCAGCTTTTATAGTATCAAATTTTCTCACATCACTTTGCTCTAATATACAGGGTCACACCAGGGAATAAAAATCTCTTGACTGTTTTGAGTCTACCCATTTATGGGATGATCTGCTTCAAAAGCTGTTTTTAATTCAATAAGCATTTATAAGGCACTTCCTGTTGACGATCACACAATGGGAATGTGTGATCTTTAGGAAGAAAGTGTCTCTAGGTGCATTTCACATTCCAGGAAAACTGACCACACAGATTTTTCCTTTGGGCACCTTTGGATTCATATTTTTAATATGAACACAATACTAAGAACCCCCTACTAGAAGAAGTTTATAATTTGTGGCCCTCCTTTTTTAAAATAAAATCAACAAACTACATTTTAGTGAACATTGGACGTTTGCTAAACTGACCTTTGTTTTCCAGGATGATAGGAGATATGCTGTCAGACACAGGAAGTGAGTCAGATAACGGAAAAGGGGAAAACATAGGAATTGAAAAGCACACTAAAATTTCCTGTAAATTAGGACACCTATCTAGTTGGAAATATAAACTTAGGGAACACTGCTTTATAAGAAAAAGTAGACTTCATATTACAGACACTGCTGCAAATGAAACAGCTATTCTATTGGCACTTACACCCAGAAAGCCAGATCCTAGTATGGAAAAAAAGTTTTATATGTCAATATTTACTGTGCAGAAGAGATAATAGGAAGAGGGTAGAGCTGAAGGCAAAACAGGAGGTATCTGGGTTAATAACCTCCTTTAATGAAGTTGTGAAGCCCTGGCCAAGGTTACCAAGAAGGCTCTGGAACTTCTTTCCACTTAAATTTTAATATATGTCAGCACCTCAGGTCAAAATTGTATGACACCATACTGCTTGGAAGCAGAGGAATGTCCTATATGACTTGCTTGTAAGCAAGGTCCTTCACAGTTTTTCCAATTCCAGTTAGGCAAAACCCATTATGATTTTTTTCAGCTATTCATTCATTCTACATATGTCTATTGGGTTCCCAGTATTCACAGTAGTACTGTGCTAAGGCCATGGTAATCCATAAGCCAAGTCTAACCACTTGAGTATTACATTGTAATAGGGAGACACACTAACAAATTCCATAAAGGAGCAGAGGGTACTCTGACAGCATGCTTAAGGGGAGAGGAGAGCTTAGGGGATGCTTCTGTGAGGAAGTAACATGTTAAGTGAAGACATGAAGATGAATATAAACAGGAAAGGAAGCTACAATCCTGGCAGATAGAACAACATTACTTAAAGATCTAAAAAGAAAAGGGGGGATGGGGAGGAGACGGCTACTAATACTGGCAGGGGCAGACAGTGAGGAGCATGATGTGAAGCTGAAGACAGGTAAGGACCGTATCATTCAGAGCCGTGCAGATCATGTTATGGATTTTTTGGACTTCATTCCAAGAGCAATGGGAAGACATTTGTGGGTTTTTTATTTTTTTTTTTTTTAAGATTTTATTTATTTTCTGACAGAGACAGAGACAGTGAGAGAGGGAACACAAGCAGGGGGAGTGGGAGAGGGAGAAGCAGGCTTCCCGCGGAGCAGGGAGCCCGATGCGGGGCTCGATCCTGGGACCCTGGGATCATGACCTGAGCCGAAGGTAGATGCTTAACGACTGAGCCACCCAGGCGCCCGACAGCGGTGGGTTTTAAGCAAAGGAGTAATGCACATTTTTTTAAAGATCACTATTTAACATAGAGAAAAGACTATAAGGGCAAGAGTAAATGTGATCGAGAAAAATAAGGTAGTACTTGATTATAACCCAAAGTATAAAATAATATTCATGCATCCACACTGATATAAACAAATGATTGGATATATACACAATGGGAAGAAAAGACAAATCTCCCATGCATAATTCCAAACAAATTATGTCAATACTCTGCCCTCCGGGAGGTAAGACATAACTCTCCACTACCAAGGGAGGGCTCATAGTGACTTCCTTCCAAAGAGAGTAACTTTACAGGGAGAAACCTAACAAACACTACCTCGGCTAGGTGATCAAAGTCAGTATCAGCAGTGACAAGCCATATTGATAGTATGTACTCTTCATATGATGCAATGAGAATGGCACTTCATCTCTGTGCTCTTCCTCCCAAAAACCCATAACCCTTGCCTCATCGTGAGAAAAACATTAGACAAATCCCAACTGACAGGCATTCTACAACATACATAACCAGAACTCCTCAAAACTATCAAGGCTATCAAAAAGAAGGGAAGTCTGATAAATGGTCACAGCCAAGAGGAGCCTAAGGAGACAGGATGACTAAATGAAATGTGATATCCTGGATGAAATCCCAGAACAGAAAAAGGGCATTAGGTGAAAACTTAGGAAATCTGAGTAAAGTATGGACCTCAGTTAATAATGTGTAAATATTGGTTCATTAATCGTGCAAATGTAACGTACTAATGTAAGATGTTAATAATAGGGAAAACCAGGTATGAGACATAGGGAACTGTACTATCTTCACGATTTTTCTGCAAATCTGAAGTATTCTAAAATAAAAAGATTACTTAAAGTGTATGTGGGAAGAGTGGTAATGGAACCACTCTTCTAGCTTAGGCTAAAAATGATAGAAGGTACAGGGCCTGGTGATTCACTGGCTGGTGGGTGAGGGAGAGGACTCAAGAGTGAAAGCGACAAGATAGCAAGGATGAAAGGTTACAGCCCAGATTTCAGGCTCGGAAAACTGGATGGACAGTGGAGTCATTCACTGATAAGGGAGCAGTGGAGGAAAACCAGATCTGGAGGAAAGTTAACAACCAGCATTTACTGGAGGCCCATTACGTATCAGGCCCTTCGCAAATTCCTATAATCATTTTGCACCATAGGGACTATTACCTGGCCCAACGCCAGGTAAAGAAATTAGAGTTTGGTATCAGGTTTCTACGGACTCCAAAGCTCGCGCTCTTTCTACTACACAGTTCGTTCTGTGCACATTTACTTCAGGTGGCAGCCCAAGCGCCCCAAGCTACTGCTGAGGAAGTCTCCTCATTGGGAGCAGAAGTGGAGTGCATCAGTACCACAGCCTCGGTAACTACTCCCCCTCCCCGGGCCTCATCTGCCAAAAACCATCTCCATCTGAGTTGTATGCAAGAGACGGGTGGAGACTTCATTAAAATGAAGACAATTAAGACACCACGAAGGGAACTGCATTCGCTAAAAATAAAAATAATAATAATGAACTAAAGAAGCACAGGGAATTCTCTGGTTCCACTCTCGTCGAGCGGTCTCCTAAGGAAAAGGCAATCCCCCGGGAGGGTACCGAGTCAAGGCGGCTGGCCTAGGATGCTCCACGCACCCTGACCCCAAAGCTCCAGGTCTCGACAGGACCGCCGGAGAAACGCCCGCCAGCCCGCTCGGAGCCACGCGGCACAAGGTGACACGGACCGCGCCTGCCCCTCAGCCGCCTGGGAGAGGCCGGGAAGAGGAGGGAGAGGGGCGTCCGCGGGGCCCCGCGCTACCTTGTACTTATCAAAGCCAGCCAGCTGCTCCGGGCTCACGTATTCGTAACCAGCCATGACGACCCGAACACCGAGCGCCCACTCGGCAGCGACTCTCCGCGAAGAGGTGCGGAAACAAGAGCACCACAGAAGCTGGGCAAGGACGGGAAGACTTAGGCTGGCAGAGGAGGTAGAAGAGCCGCGCTCCGCCCACCGCGCACGCGTAGCCGCCTCGGGCCACTTCCGCTGCCTCCCAGTGCGCAAGCGCAGCCTCCACCTCTCCCCGCCCACCGAGGGAGGGACGCTAGCCTGTTCACGCGGTCCACCCCCTCACGCCGTCGCAGTCCAATCAGTGTGGATCGGACAACACTAAATCCCGCCTTCCAGGTTTTCTCGTCGCTTCATTCGTTAGCGTCAAAATTGGTGAGCCGAAGTAAGGAGTGAGTGGAGGCGAAAGGTCAATTTCCCAAGGGTCCTTGCTCCTCCCTGCAGCGGGAGATGGGAGCTTCTGTGGTTTCGTTACCGTGTAGGGGTTTGGAGCTTTCCTTGCGGGTATCGCGATTGCAGGCGAACCAATTCAACAGTACTTCAGGGAAGAGGGCTTAGTTCCCTCAAACCGTAACGTAAAAGACCAGAGAAAGGGAATGTGCCCGGCCCGCAGCAGCTCCTGGCGCGGTGCGGTGCGCTGCGCACAGTAGGTGCTTAGGAAACGTGATTGGACGTCGAGAAGCCCGTGGGGAGCCTTGGTGACAGGCTTTTTGCAGTCTATAAGGGGCCCTGAAAAGGCGCTGGAGACATCCCTCAGGCCTCTCCACACTCCGCTCTATCAAAGTGAAATTGCTAATGTCTCCCACCAGATAAAAGCACTGGTCTCTGAGCCTGTAGGAGTCTTTAAGTGTGTTGGCAGAAATGCATGCACATAACTGGAGCCAGTTGTAGAAAGAGCACTAGATCAATGGCTAGACTGTATCAATCCAGTAGTAAAATTTAATAATAGTAATAGTTGCTACCACTTTTTTGAGGACCTTCTACGCTGGGAACTTTACATACGTTATCACGAACCCCCATAACAATACTGCAAAGTGGGAGGCACTTTACCCAATTCGCAGATTAGTAAATCAAAATTCACACTACCTAACCTGCCCAGGATCAGACCATTCATTATGCAGCTCGGAAGTGGTCGACCCAACATGAAATGAGGTTCTTGGTGTCGGAAACCACTACCTAAGGGAGACTCAATCTCTGGGTCTCTGAAACAAGGGTGATTATTTTGAGATCTCTTATGTTCCTTATATTCATTCATTAAACATAATTATTGGGTCCTGAGTATATGCCAAGTATATTATTATTTCTGCGTGTGTCTTATCTCACCTTCTAAAGTACAAGATCCTCATGAGGTAATAGATATGAAGCCTCTATCATCATACTTGGTACATGGCAGATAAATAAACTTGAGTGACTCTTTCCCCTCACTTGAGAGGATTTGTGTCTTGTACATCTTAATGTTCCCCATGTCCTATAGTCCAGTGCCTTGCAGATAATACATGGTTAATACATTTTGTTGAATGAATGAGTAAAGATCTCTTTGATATGCTGTGTAGTGTCTGCTTTGAGGACATTAGAAATATGGATCTCCCTTTAAGAAGGAAATTGGCTCTAATGAAAACTACGAAACCACCTCCTTGGACATAAAAATATTTCCTTTATGCATGTACTGTATTTAAAATCCCTTCTGTGTACGGATAAAAATACTGAATTGACATGCCTTTGCACTAAATATGAGTTTTGGACAATGTATTCATCAGACTGGAGCTACTGTCCCAAGTAAAATGCTACAGATTTCTTCTGCTATGTGTTTGTTCTAATCAATATAAAGAGAAGAAAATCTTCATATCAAATGATTTTTTATTTCTTTTTAAAGATTTTATTTATTTATTCATGAGAGAGAGAGAGAGGGAGAAGCAGAGGGAGAAGCAGGCTCCCCGCTGAGCAGGGAGCCCGACGTGGGACTTGATCCCAGGATCCTGGGACCATGACCTGAGCCGAAGGCAGACGCCCAACCATCTGAGCCACCCAGGCGCCCTCAAATGATTTTTTAAAGACTTACTTATTTTAGAGAGAGAGAGAGAGAGAAAAGGAGTGGGGGAGGGGCAGAGGGAGAGAGAGAATCTCAAGCAGACTCCCCACTGAGTGCAGAGCCACTGAGGGTACCAACTTAGCCACCCAGGCTTCCCTCAAACGATTTTTTATATAAGACCTGTGCTTACCCATCCCTTGTCTGACTCCTCACCCACTAAAGTTTATCTCTCCTACATCTCATACACTGATCATGCTTTCTGCCTTCCAGAATGATCATCACAGAAAATATTTGTGCTAGAAGCAATGTTATCACCTTTGTAATATAATCTGGATAAAAAGGTGTTTTCATTCCTGGCATTCCTGTTTTGTTTAGTCTTAAGAGGATGTCAGGTAAATGGAGATATCTAAAAAGTTGAAAGTTAAGGACTAATCTAGTTAAAAACTCCAATATAAGTTATTAAAGCCATAAAAATGGTCAAGGTTTTCCAAGGAAACTTATAAAATGATGATGACTTGGTTTGCGTTTTAAAATAATAGTGATGCCTTATACTAATAATTAGTATACTAATATACTTATACTATACTAATACTAATACTTATGCCTAATACTTATACTATGACTCTCAAAGGAATTTGGCATCTCACTAGGTCATCTTACCAAGCCTGAGCCATGGGCCAAGTAGTTGTTCTAATTGTACAGAACAGAACAAGAGAAGGATTATATATCTTGCCCAAAAGTCACCCAGTTTGTGGTAAAACTGGAATAAGAGCACATGTCATCAAACTTTTAAATAATTTTTAAACAATTCTTCCACTACACCTTGCTTCTATAAGTTACCATGGCAAGATGTTTATTTTTTTTTTAAGATTTTTTTATTTATTTGACAGAGAAGAGACTACAAGCAGGGGGAGCAGCAGAGGGAGAGGGAGAAGCAGGCTCCCCACTGAGCAAGAAGCCCTTTGCAGGACTCGATCCCAGGACCCCAGGATCATGACCTGAGCAGAAGGCCAGACACTTAACCGACTGAGCCATGCAGCCACCTGGGTGCCCCGGTAAGATGTTTAAAAAAGGAAAATTCACAAGTCAGTTTTTAATCAAGGCTAGAGGTGGTGGGGGCTGACTAGGAAAGAACTGAACAGCCTCATTAAGTTGCTTATTTTTTCTTAAAGATGGAATTCCCTGGCTAGAGTAAACCTTCTCTTAGGTTAGGGTTTCTCTGCCTGGGCTTTGCTGTATTTTATATTTTTTCAAACATAATCCTACTAGGTAAGAATGTGTAGAAACTCTATTTGCGTGGGTCATCAATCAAATTCTTTATCACAGAAAAGGTCTTTGCAATATACTGAGATTCAGCATAAGCTAATGCTACTTTGTACCTCCTACTTTCCATGTCAGTGGAGGAGGGTAGTGTCTCTGGTATTCTGGGACTTGTCACCCCACCAGCTTCCCAATGGTTTTCTGGCCATTTTTGTTCCCTTAACCTTTGAACACAAACTCAGTCGTGTCTGTAGTCATTCAAAACCCAGAGAATGAGTGTAAAGGTTCAGAGGGAAACGGGAGCCTACTGTGATATGAAGTAAGAGTCAAATGACAGGTCTAGTAATTTATTTAGACTCTCTGCATACATACCATTCTTGTTTTGGAGATGAGTTATTGTTTCTCTTTTATAGCCATTATTCATGAGCGTGACTGTTACACATAAAAGGAGAATTATTTTTAAAAACTGATCGCAGGGGCTCCTGGGTGGCTCAGTCATTAGGCGTCTGCCTTCAGCTCAGGTCATGATCCCAGGGTCCTGGATTCGAGCCCTGCATCGGGATCCCTGCTCAGCGGGAAGCCTGCTTCTCCTTCTCCCACTCCCCCTGCTTGTCAAATAAATAAATAAATAAATAAATAAATAAATAAATAAATAAAATCTTTTTTAAAAACTTTATAAAAAATTTTATTAAAAAAAAACTGATCTCAGACAGGGGTACCTAGCTGGCTCAGTCGATGGAGCATGCAACTCTTGATCTCAGGGTTGCGAGTTCAAGGCCCACATTGGGTGTAGAGATTACTTAAAAATAAAATCTAAAAACAAAAAACTTGGGCAAAAATTTCTTTTTTAAGATTTTATTTGTCAGAGAGAGAGTGTGAGGGCACAAGCAGGGGGAGTGGCAGGCAGAGGGAGAAGCAGGCTCCCCACTGAACAAGGAGCCCAATGCAGGACTTGATCCCAAGACCCTGGGACCATGACCTGAGCTAAAGGCAGACACTTAACCAACTGAGCCATGCAGGCATCCCTCAGGCAAAATTTTATACTGGGCTTATTTTGAGCATTCTTGAAGTTCTGGTAGTGACCCAGCATCTGTATTTTCTGAGCAGAGAATTGATACCTCTCCAACACAAACATCCCTCTCCCCATTATTACTGCACTAGAATGGAAGCAGAACTCTAGGTGAACCAAATACAAATCATTCAGATGGGTAGCCATAGTGGCATCACCCCATCTCCTTATTCCTTATGCCTTTCTCCATATTCCGTTTTACCTCATCTAATGTCAGGTCTGCAGATATAACCAAATGTAACCACTATTCTTTTTATTATTTCAATTTGAACATGGAGCCATACAAGACACCCCATTTTTTAAAGATTTTATTTTTATTATTTATTTGAGAGAGAGAGAAAGAGACAGAGCACGAGTGGAGGGGGAGGGGCCGAGAGAGAGAGAAGCAGACTCCCCGCTGAGAGGGAGCCCAATGCAGGGCTCAATCCCAGGACCCTGGGATCATTATCTGATCTGAAGGCAGACATTTAACCGACTGAGCCACCCAGGTGCTCCTAGACACCCCATTTTTTTATTAACATATAATGTATTATTTGTTTCAGGGGTACAGGTCTGTGATTCATCAGTCTTACACAATTCACAGCACTCACCATAGCACATACCCTCCCCAGTGTCCATCAGCCAGCCACCCCATTCCTCCCACCCCCCTGCACTCCAGCAACCCTCAGTTTGTTTCCTGAGATTGAGTCTCTTATGTTTGTCTCCCTCTCTGATTTCATCTTGTTTCATTTGTCCCTCCCTTCCCCTGTGATCCTCTGTCTTGTTTCTCAAATTCCT